TGTGTGTGTGTGTGTGTGTGTGTGTGTGTGTGTGAACGTGTGCTTTGAAGCGAAGAGGTCAGCGTTTGTCATGTGCCTTCGCTGCCCCCGGGTCTGATTGGTCTGACCTGCAATACTTAGCGGCTGCTCCCCGCGTCCATCTTGGCATCGCTCTGGCTTTGCCTCCCATGAAATGCCTATTGTCATTCACTTAAGCTGAGGGGTTTTAACATTAACCAAAACATCCCGGGTGTTAAGAATATAAATATCTCTCCATGTGCATCACGTGTGTATCGTTTTTGCATTTTAAAGAGCAGGACAGATTTGAAACATGGTGATTTAAGTGTCATTTCCAACCCATTGCGCCGAAGATGTTTTCACCATCCGTTTTCTCTCTTCTATCTCCCTCTCAACTCTCCCTTCCTGTCCCGTCCTCCCCCTCCCTCCTGCCACCTCTGCCTTTTTTTTGGCCCTGTTGGCTTCGATTGAAAACCAATGAGGCAACTAATATGTGGAAAGATAGAAATTTACTTGCTTTAAGTTCATGCATCAGCCTCCGTCTTTGCTGTATGGGCCACGTTTAGCACAACAATATAGAAGAAGCAAAGACTGCCAAAGGAGCTGCTCTGTGCTACATGATGGTGCGCTTCACGCCCCATTTCCCACCAATACCTCCTGCACACACACCCCCCTTCGCCCCGCTCCATCTCTACCTTTTCCCCTCTTTCAGGGCCATGGCTTTGGGACAGGTCCACCTGCAGGGGGTTGGAATTGAAATGCATTGATCTGTTGCTCAGTGGAAACAGGCGTATATTCCCTTACTTTCCTTTTTTCTTTCTTTGCAGTCACAGAAGTTTGAGCACGCATGACCATTTTGAGCATTGCTCAGTCAGAGGCATGAATTTGCTTAGATTAAAAAAAAAAAATGTGATTCAATCAATCAGGTTCAAATTGTTGTATCTTGAGTCCTTTGTTGAAGCCTCATCACAAATATAAAGGTCAAGTTTTTTTGTTGGTTGGTTTGTTTGTTTGTAAGCAGGATTTGTGCAAAACCTAGTGGATGAAACAGATTTGGAAGGATGCAGGTCAGGGAAGAAGCCATTCAATGTTGGTGCAGATCCGGATCAGGACGTTTTTTTGATCACTTTCTTTCACATTTTCTAAAACATTTTTATTTGCGTTTCACAGATTATCCAGGTTATAATTCGTTGATCTTGATGAAAAAAATCTGGCATTATTATGGGACTGATTTCTATGAGTGTGTGAAATTTGGTGCGACTTGATTGAATTTAAGGGGACAATTATTGGCCCTTGGCAGAGGAATGTGCTGTACTGAGTGTCATTCCAGGGAATTACCATCAGGGAAATTTGTAGACACTGTGTTAAGTTTTCCTGTAAATGAGAAAATGACCACTTAAAAATAAAATTTTCTCTTATGTCTTATTCATTTTATTTGAACCAGGGGTAGATCCATGGGCAGGGCCAGGGGGGCACTGGCCCCAGCTGTAATCGAATTGGCCCCTGAAGTGCTCCTATCCTGTCTTTTTTTAATATGACAATATGTTAAGAATCTTTTTTTCCTCCATTTTTTTTGAAACACACAATGTGCTCGAAAAAGGAACAATTTTCTAAATATATTCAATGATGTGTGGCTTATAATCGGCCCCTCTGTGTAAATTGTGGCCCCTTTACGGCCCCTGATTCAGAAAATCCTGGATCCGTCACTGACTTGAAGGTTAAAGAAGACAACCTGTGTGTTTACAACCAGCATGTAACTCCACAGGAAACGTAGTCTTTCTCATCCTCCAGTATTTAAAATTCAGACCATCTTTCCCCCCTCAAAGAGTATGCATCAAAAGGCTTTTTAGTGTAGTCATTTCACCCCTCTCCTGTTCACTCTCATTTGGCATCTTTCAGGGCTCTGAGGCAGAAAATAAAGGAGAGGGAAGACGGGCGCCTTCTCAGTCAATTTCGGTGTTTAGTTAAAAGGACGGAAAAGTGATTTCGCTGCTCGTTTTCTCCTCCCTGACAGGCGGCGAGCGGATGCCGATTAGTTATTGTATGATGATTTAGTGTCTGGTAAAGCTTTCCATTTAAATGCACCCAGTAGTTATTTTGCATAGTCCCCCTGCAATTTGCTTCAGCTCAGGAGACATTGGCCATCGCCTTGTCCTAATGCCATGTAATTGTCGGAGGGGGCACGTCGCTGGGCGGACGCGTCAACACGGCCGCGCTCTTTCAGGTCCCAGCCGTGACTTAATGAAATCGCTCCCACCAGCTTAAAAAGACACAACAAGCATCTGTCACCCAGGACAACTTTTAGTGGATTTGAGGTGTGGACTTTGTTGTGCGACGGCCACGAAGCAAAAAATCTTTATTTGAAAGTAAAAGAGATTCGAATAAATTAAATCAAAGAAGAACCTCTGACATAGATTGAAGGCAGAGATTTTTTTACAGAGACGACTTAATGTTGCTATGAGAGGTTCTGTCATAGTATCAGGTGTGTGTTGACTTGTCAAGTGTTCTCTATTCTTCAGGATGTGAGTCATTTCTCTCTCTTGCCCTTTTCCCTCTCTCCGTCTCGCTGCATACCACTTTCCCCTGCCGGCCCCTGCGGTGAAGGGCCTCGCAGGGAAAATGAAACCAAATAGAGGAGAAAAATGGAATATTGATTTTCTTTTTTTCTCTTTTGATGGCATTTTCAGGTGTCTCCTTTTTCACGCACCATCCTCTCTTTTCTTCCCTCCGCCGCGTCTCGAACGGTCCGTTATCACCTATAACAACAACCAGCACAATAGTCTCCTTGTTCGCCGCGCTGCTCTTTGATGAGGTCTCAGAAGGTCCTGGTGGAATAAAGTGGGGTGAAGTGTGTGAAATAGAGAAAGTGAGTGTGTGTGTGTGTTTTCCCTTTTCAGAATCACGCTCCGGACGACCTGTACCTGATGACCAAGAACCCACAAGATTCACCCCACAGCCCCGATCGACTGGAGATAGAGTTCAGAAAAGGTTGGTGCACTTGTTGTGTCAACTGTTCATTCATCTGTTAAGATGGACAACCTCTTCAAGCGAATCACTGCTGAAGATGGAAAAAACTTGAGATTTGAATTTTTTAGGTCTGATGTTATGTCGGGGGTGGGGTGGGGGGTTAGTAGGAGTAGGGGTGGGGTGGGGGGTTAGTGGGAGTAGGGGTTGGGGTGGGGGGTTAGTGGGAGT